AAAATCTAACGTCATTGGCCTCTGAAATGCGTCTTTTTCGGATGCCACGAGGGGGTGCAGTTTCATTTAATTGCTGACCAGCGGTTTTTACGGATCTTTTCAATCGGATGATTTCCCACGGGCCGTTTACAAAATACACCAACGTTCTCCCCGCGCCACTGAGCCTTCGGCATCTTCCTCGTTTTTGAAAACCATGAAACTTTATCCATCGCTTAAGGCTATATTATATGCATCTATATATACACACAGATAAATAAATAGTATTTTATTTTTACGCAGAATTTTTGGCACCCAAAATACATAAGTGAAAATGAATTACGAGTCACTAGGCAAAGAATTTTACGAGTAAAATACGTTACAGCGCATATTATTATTCATGAACGGGTTAAGAAGAAAAAAACTAACATCAGTTTGCGTGAACGAGTTTAACCGATGGTTGTGATAGATATTCCATAAGTATTAATATAAATGATCAGTACTTATGACGAGTGCAATAATTTATGACCGCAAAGCATTGAACGATAACATCATAAATATATTACGATTACTGTTTTAGTAAATTTAAATTTTATTATTATGTTCAAGTCTTCTCTGTCGTATTTTTAGTTCAACTATAACGACTTGAATGTCCGAGTGTGAAAAATGTGTTAACACGTGGTTAATATTGATAATTGAGGTACTCGATTATAGTTATTTTAGTAAAAATGTATAGTAAAGATAACGAATATTTAATAAATTATTTATTAATCAAAATAAAATACATATATTATTATATTAGTTGTCACACGTAGTATATTATGTGCATAAAAAACATTTAAACACTCCATTATAAAATAGTACATATTATATTATTTGGAATTATAAAAAAAAATCTATTAAAGATCTATCATATAGTATATTATTATAATATAATGAAGACAATTTCGTCTATGGTTACCGTCTACTACAGTAATGTTATTTAAGTAAAATGTGCGATTAAGTGCATGTTGTAAAAATATATAATCTCGAGAGCACAGGCTGTAAATACACAGCTTACATGCGGTATTATATCGTTATATACATAATCGCATACAATTGTTGTTATATACACACTTGTGAACTAGAATTATTATTATTACTTTACGATAATAATTATTATTGTTTAATATTATAAGAAACAGTTCAGCAAAGTCATAGTATGCATCGTGAAATGGATTATTAGTTATGAAATAACTCGCGTGTGCTAATAATCTATTTATTATCTGATAACAGTAATAAAAATGTGATTCGGTTTGATGTAAAATAAAATACGACAAAATCATTATAAGCTGTTATAAATATTATGTGTATTGTGGACTATACGTTTATCGTATAATATAATATATAGAACTATTATTCTACGTAGATATAAACACTTTAAACTTTAAACCCCTAAGTTTTTCGTGAAAAATAATTCATTAATCAAAACCTTTGATAATATATGTCACGCTAGACATTATATATTAGTGTTATTCTACGAGGGTTGTATACATATTGTATAAAACGGATATTCTATTGAAATTATTTGTTAATATTTATTTATTTTTTTCTTAGACTGAAACGTGTGGAACAAGAAACATTTTGAACATTTTACGTGTATACACAACAGTGTTGATTGTTTTGTTTCCATGTCAGTCCTTTGAACGCGTTTTTCGGTAGTATTTTGTAGACGCCACTGTTGTTGTCAACCGCAACGGTGAAAGAACATTAAGAACAACAATAAAACAATAAAAATAATATTATTATAATAGCCATTATAATAATCATTTTTACATGCAAAAATTATTATTATTATAATGTTTTTTGCTTTTTTTTTCGTAAATACACTGAATACCGAATTAGATTGTATAAAGTCACCGACCTTTTAACTCGTCTACTGTAATCTAATATTGTTAAAATAATCTAAATTACACTATTACTGTTTTGAACAATAATCGATAATAATTATTTAAATCAGCATTATTTATACATTTTCAGTAAAAAAAAAAAATACATGTTGAACCTTACAAACAATTAAATTACCAAACATAAAAATTTACTTAAGTAAATATATTGTACGCAATGTGATAACTTTACATGCATTGTTGTGCATTGGTCGTAATAGGTGAACATCAATATTTTCTTACAGAAGTGTTTAATGACACTGAGTGTAATTTTTTATTCTTTTTTCACCTCTTTCGCTTACACGTCATTATGCAAGTATCAGATGTTACGTATGAAGTGCATACTGTTTTATATGAAATAGGTACAATAGGTACCAATCGGATATTGGAAAAACCATAATAATTATTAACCCCTTTGTCTATATCATAGTTGTGATGTCGCATGTACAACGTGCATTACTATACACAGGTAACGATATATTGTTTTATTAACTGTATTGACATATATATTATTGTATTGAGTCCTTTCACTGCAATCCTTCTAATAACTCTGTTGTTCGGGCTTAAAATTTTGATCGCACGAAACAACAAAACGCGACGCACTTCAGTCAATCGAAATGATATTTGAGACTTTATGTACGACCCACATTGTTTTATGATCGGGAAGGGGAGGAGTAGGGTGAATACAAATCGACGGGACCATTCATATTTACAGAGCCTCGGAGCACGTGTCTGTTATATTAAGACGGCGAAATGTAAACAAGACAAATTCCTACGGCGGGGTATTAAAAATACCGCTGCGGCGAAGACTTTTCAGCTTTATCGGAAGAACGCGCCCTGAGATTATATACGCATGCTCAGTGAACGAAATGTCAATACACTATTATAAGTTTATAATGTGTGAACGACGATGATCGAGCGTTTACAATAATATAATCGTGCACACAAATATTATTACCTATGATAGTATTAAGTTATTATATTATGGCGACACAGAGGAGTTTTGGATAGGCAATTAATTTAGCAGGTGAGCGTATGGTGGCGAGGGTTAGTATTGGCGAGAAAACAATCGTACGAACATTATAATATATTATATTATTATCGTCGTGCGATTCTAATATTACTAAATTATTAAAATAATATCATCGAGCGGAAGCGAAAAAATCTTGCACCGAAATTTTAAATGATGCATTTAACTAGACGAAACAATTACATTATATAAACCATTTTGCCTGTTAAAAAAAATCTACTAGAAAATGATTTACCGAGGTTCATAATATTATGAACCAGTCGTATAATATAAAAACATAATGAGCTTGGAAATTAGAACAGAGGTTTTTAAACCTTTATTCGCATACACTCGTGCATATTACGGATCAATCGCGTATACTACTAATGACTGAAATTAGAACTGTTCTAAATACCAATACATTTATTGCCAATCGATAAAATTGTAAAATATGACTTTTTATTCGTTCTACGCGACATGCTTCATAAACCGTTGGCTTAGAACACAAAATAAACTAATCATTTCCATAAATAATATTATATATTATAATTTATTGAACCAGACGCACGAATAGGATGAAATAAAAAAATAAAATTTAGAATGTTATGCCGTGTGTATGATTAACGAAAAAAAATAAAATGTAAGTCGTACGATAAAGTTAAAAGTACGTAGGTAAGTTACAAAATACGTTATATCTGAGTGAAAAATGCCGAAAATGAGTATAAGTTCCCGCGGGTCGCGATTGGAGAAGGAATTCGTATACATATATTATATTATTAATATTATTATATACAATTTTCCGTCGAAAACACGCGAAGCACTATAATTATAGGTCTATAATAGACCTAAATTAATAATTTTCTTCTTCGGGAGGCTCTTTAGGACGGTTTCGATCGTTTCGAGTGCTACTGCAAAATTGCTTCTACGACACGACATTCGAACATTATACGAGTATATTATATACAGTGACGTTATTTCATAAATATTTTTCTTTGTCGTCTAGACATCTCCAATACGGTTAGTAGTTTTACGTTAAAGCGCACGAAGCTGCCCTAAATAATAGTAACATAATAACAAGGAAAAAAAGGTATGTGAACGAAAATTCAAATTCGTTCCGTAAGCCAATATTTGCGTCTTAGCGACGGCCACGAGTGGTTGCAATGTTTTTTTCAATCAATAACATGTTTTTTTACCCCCTCGGCTACCACCACCCACGGGGTGAAAACGAAAATTATATTTGTACACGATTAAACCGTTATTGTCTTAAACTTTTAAATTTAAAATAATTATATTATTCTTAGAGTTTTCCTTTTCTAGATTATGGTTTAATGCCATCTGTTAAACGCGACAAACTTTATGACATTGCGAATAATACACTCGAGATTATCTTTAAAAATATTATTCCTTTTTCGATGAGTATAGCAGGTAAAACAAATAAACAGTTGAGCACTCGTCAAAAATAAAATCGCGATAATAAAATAACCATAATAAAAATAATAATTTATTTCTATTTATTTTACATCGTACATTTTAAGATATAGCACAACAATCGAATAATGGACAAATTGACTTATTCCCTTTCACCGTTAATATATATTTATAGACATCTATATGGATATACCTGAGAGATGTTTTTTATCGATGTATCGTCCAATTATAATAAAGTATACTGTCGCGTTCAAATGTCTTACAACGTTTTACACGTTGACGAGTTAAACGCGAATAGGTATCTACTTTTTTTTATTAAATATTAATTTTAAACTAGCGAAGAACACATCTCGCAAGTTGTATGTAGGTATCTTTATTAGCAATTAAGTGTGTTTTTTTTTTTTTATTTGTTACATAATTTATGATTGGTTTGCGTACACCGCACCAACGGCAGAAAACCTTCAACGTTTTGCAAGCCAACTATTCGATTTGCATAAAAATAATTCTACCATATTTAAATAGTCATATTATTTTATTATTTCGGCGAATAACTAAATTAACGTTTGGTGAACGTTTCCGTCCACTGTTTTTATTTTCGACTATAAAGCAACAACAACAATCGATTTGCATAATATTAATTTATTTGGAAATGCGCACATACAATAATAATCGTTCACAATCAAGTGGATCAGACATCACTTCATTAGACCAGCCAAAAACAACCGACAATGCCTATATTATATTATTATGATTATGGTTATTATTTTTTCGGACCATATTTTACTACTACAACGGAGTTTTTGTGATCAGTCGTTATTTATCATACATGATTTAATATTATAATATGTTTTTATGCGATCGACAGTTTTAGCCCACCGTATCATTTTCAATACGGAATCATTAACGCTTCCGTGAATCTACGATTGTATAATATTCTGCACTGTTCGTCTGCTGCTCATTTGATTGACGCGCAACAGTTATTTACGATAGTTTAGTCTTTCGATTTGAACGTCAGGCACAACCAACAGTCTAAAACGATACGTATGTAGGTACTCGTATATACTAGAGACAAGTAGATTTATAATAGCTGACTTATTGCAGTCCAAACATTGTTTATGTATACACTTTGACGATCCAAACTCCTTTCCGAACGCAAACTTTTCTTCAACTCGCCCGTTCTGTAACAAAGTACCAATAGTGTGCAAATAAATATAAATTCCGAAGGAAATTTAAGCGCTATTTATTTTTATTATTTATTTATTTTTCTAAAGAGAGAGCAATCAAGAAACTCGATCGTAGTATCGTTTTACGTGAATTGTCTGTTTATATGCCCGGAAACACGTATATACACATAATCGCGTATAGAAACACACGAAAACGAGAACGTTTCACGATCAACAATTAATGTTTGATGGGACGTGTTCAATAAAGTTAGCTGTTCTCCCACTCAGTACACATTTGCCAACGGTGTTCGTTTTCGTTCGCGCGTTTGCACAGAATTATTTGAACTCACCGGGGATTAAATAATGATTATGCCTCTGAATAATAATAAATATTGTATTGAAACAATGTTTGTCTAGTAGATTAAAAAAAAAAAAGAAGAAAAAAATCGTTCTTCAGAGTAATTCGAATTATAGACGTTATAGTGCATTATGTTACTATTATTTGTACAGCAGCAGGTGCGGCTGCAGCACAGATCTAACTATAGGTACCTACTTAATAAGTATACCTAAGACTGAAATAGCCAAATATGAATAATAATAATGTCATTAGCTTTACCGTTTCGATATGACTATGCTGAGCGTCTCGCGATACAAGCTGTTTTGCGATATTTTTCTCAGATTTATTTATTGTGAACTCGACAAGAGTCAACGTGAATCATTGCGGTAGATGGTTAAAAAAAATAACTATCAGGCAATAATAACAATAAAAATAACAAAACGCATCGTCGACACACTGCGAAGTGCAAAATTGGAAAAAAGGAGATAGGAAGTAAACGCATAACGACTCGTGGCAGTAATCGTCCGCTTTGTTCCGGTTGTCGGACGACGGAAAATCGTGTTCAAAAGCGACCTTCTGTCGGTCCTGATGAGGAACGCCGATGCGGCTGCCACTGCCACTGACCGGTCGACGAGATGAACACCACTCAGAGTCAGTCGTCGTTTTAAAACTCCGAGTGCGGATCTTTCTTGCACAATATGTCGACCTGCAGATGGTAAATGGTGAACGCAAAGCGCCGGATAATACGGTATGATGTGACGTTATTTTGTGAGGGGAGGGACACTCACACCACTAAAATGTTGGCTGGCGGGTAAATGAATCATTTATTTATCCCCCCTTTACTATTAATATGCCAACTGTAGAAATCTTAAAACCGTCTGAATTAAAAAATAATAAATTTAACGTCGGTTAAATTACTCACTTAAATTATTATGCGTAAAGTATATTTATTTCACGTTTTAAAAATAATCTAATACTATTATTTCATAAACCATGATTACAGGATTATTATGATTACCTACATTATTTTTTTATCAAACGAATTATAAGGTATACTTTTTTTGTTGATAAACTGCGTATACTCAATATAATTTGATTAATGGGTACGAAATAATAATAATAATAATAATACCTGCAATAGTATCTAAGCCTTAAGATTTGTGTATAAGCAAACAATTTTATTGAATAAATTATTTCCTCCCCACCCCTGGATTTTACCTAGTTACGTTAAATGGAAAAATAAGTTGGGTTCGATGACCGGATGTGTCATCTACCCCCGGACGCACCCACTGCCTGTCATGGGACAAACCGCAGTGTCCACGTCTCAGCATTTATCAGCAACATGTGTACACAGTGTCACATATTATTATTCATTTGCCGTTCTAGTTTTGACGGAACTGGACCCAAGGCGTCCACTTATGCTAGTAAAATAGAAATTGTAATTGTTTTAATAGAAAGACCGACGTTTCTTTGAAAATGTTTGCCCATTTGTAGAAGTATCGCGTACATTCTACACTCTTAAAATGATAAAATTACGTAAAATCAATTTTGTTTGGAAAAAAAAAACCCATTAAAAAGTGACTATATAAAGTGGCCCAATTAAAAAAAAAAAAAAATCAAATTTATATAAGTTTTTTTGCGCGCATATTGATCAACGCTCGTCAATTCTGTTTATTGCCAGCGGTTGATTAATGATATTATCACCTACAACGCAGTTTATTAATAATATTAATAACTTGGAATTTAAATAGGCACCTATTAGTTGAACGCATCCACGAATCGGTTAAAAGTATTCGATTAATATTCATTAATACGTAAATTTGTGTTATATAATAAATGTATATACATATATAACCCAAATGCCACTCGCTAATCGCTATTTCTCAATAACTATTAAACATATAAACTTGAAATTAGAAATAGTGTTTTCTGTAATGCTCTAGATATAGATAGGCAATAAAAAGATATTTTAAAAACGGGCTCTCGCAAAAATCACGTTTCGAAAAATTAAAATTAAATATATTTTTTTTTATTTATTTTTTTTTTTTTTTTGTTATTCAAATAGTTGTCGTTGGTTACAGACAATAGACAATAACATTGTTATACATTTATCGAACAGCTTTGGTAAATTTACTTTTTTACAATTAAAAAATATTATAAACTCTCAAATAAAATATATTAATATTTCAAGAAACTCGCAAAAATACATTTGCCGTCTGTTTATTTGTCCGGGAAAAATCTCTAAACGAATGAATTGATTAATAACGTAGTTTTCGTGGGTATTTTATTACCTGATAAAAAAATTATTTATTATAATTTTACATCTCTATTTTATAATAGGTCTAACATAACCCTAATAACAGCTGTTTTAAAATTTTACACCGTTTACATTTAACGGAGTATAAGAAGTGAATACACGTTCATACGGGTAGTATTGTAATACATAATAATATAATAGTTAATACATTTTCTTAACTTTAAAGGGCCGTAGTTAATAAAAGAAGTAAACAAAAATTGATGATTGCAAAAATATAAACATTTTCAGTACAAAAATCGTTATCTGAATCCATTAAACAAAAAAAATGATTGTTATTATTTTAAAAATAAAGTGAGTTTTGTTGTCTATACAACTGTGCTTGAAAGTTTTAAACTTATTATGAAAATATTGCAGATTGAAAAGAAAGAAATACGTATTTTTTCTACAAATTCCATACTTTCGACAAAAATAAAAAATAAAAAACCTCGAGTACATAACGTGTACATTGACATGGTATTCAGATTCAGCCTGCCGTAAAGTTTGAGCGTAAGTTTTCGGAAACAAGGACTAAGTCAATGCAGACCGACTATGTTTATGGAGCTGCATAATAATACACAGGCAATACCAAAATTATATATTAATACTATAAATATTCAGCTGTGTCCTGTGAGCAGACATAGTTGAAACTTAATATTGCTACTACTACTGCTACTAATAATAATAATTAATATGTATACGTCGTGCGACACGCGCTGCTTTCATTTCGTATTTGAACAGTGAGCATATAAAGTGACAATAATTTTGAATTTACCGTACGAGTTGGTTGTACGTATAAAGTAAAACTTATTAATTACGTGTGTCATAATCGAATTCCCGTTGTGTAGAACTTTAAGTACACCTTAGCCACACCTTCTACCACACAAGTACGAAGCACGGTCAAACGTATGATTCGATTTCGATAGAAGTTGGACTACACTTAATATACGATGTACAACAATAAGATTTAAGATGTTTAGCAATATTGTCCGAGTTCCTTATTCCGGTCAATAATTGTCGTGATTTACTTCAATGGTATATCTACGAAATAATAATTATTGTATTTATCAGGAAATATTTCATACTCAATTTTCAGAATTTTAAATATCTGCAGCCTGTCAACGTGTAATATTTTTTAGTGATATTCTATTTCATTTATTTTTATTTATGTAGTGCTTAGTGTTCACAATGATTTTACGCTGGAATAATAATATTATATTCAGTGCTGTGGGCCCTTAAATGTTTTTAAACTGTTATTAAGTCGTAGACCGTAGTCCGCAATTTATTTTATACACCTTTTAAAATGTATTCTACTACGTTGACTTTATTAAATTTATTACCACCAGACTGTTGAAATATAACTATTTGCTTTAACATCCGGATATTATATATTGTTATTAACATTATTTTACAATCAACGCAGAAATACCTCATAATGAATATAAAAATGAAATAAAATGTGAATATATATGTTTTTAAACATCCCCAAAAGTTTTCGATTTAATCAACTTTGGATCATTAAACAAATTATGCTTAAATGATGAAATAGTTCAAAAAAAAAAAAAAAAATGAAATTTTAATATATAGACAAAAAGAAATTTTAAATTAGAAAATGAAACGGAGCAGTGAAATGTACATGTCACACTAATTATTGTTTTAAATTGGTTATTATCAACTTACTATTACATTTAAACAGTTAAATACATGGTACATGATCAGTTGCTGTGGGTTTAAGGATTTATGCGAATAATCAAAATTGTTAATAAAATGAATCTTTTTTTTTTTTTTTACTTAAGAAGTCAGTAACTATACAAATAATTAATATCTTATAAAAGTCAAAAGTAATGAAACTATGTTATGGTCACTTATTGGGTTGTGTTAAATCCTTTTTATTTTCTATTTTTACTTTTCGCCATAAGACGCCCCTATGAGGAAAAATACACAGACAATATTATCGCGACGAGTGATGATAATATAATACAGTGTATATTTATTATTTGGAAACAATCAAGTTATTTTAATGTTCTGTCAGTAAAAAAATACACTCGTAATATCATTGAATTTAGATGCGATCATGACGAACGCACATTGCGAATCCGGGATGCGCGTTTTGACCCACTGCAAAATATAGCATATTGTAAGCAATGTTATGAAACACTATTACGTTATCCGGACGAGAGCTATTATTATTCTCATCTCGGCGTAGGTACTGGGTGTGTAAACTCACATGACGCAGAGTGAATAGGTATCCAGTTTTGCTCTTTGCTCTAACATGCCGCGGCTGTTACAGGTACATTTATAATATGTATTTATATTATGCATTACATTATTATAATACCCCGGTACAACATTATAAATAACGGGGCCCGCTACTGTAATGTAGGTACAGACGTTTACATCATAATTAGACGAAATTACCCAAGCCAGCGCGGTGCGATGGGGATGGTCGAGGGGCGATCCAGGAGACTTGGGTTATTATTTTACAGTGTAATGAATCCCCAAAACTTCTTAATTAAACGACCCTCAAAATGCAACGAGACGGCGGCGGTGGCAACGAAATCCTCAGAGACCTGACTCGGCTCGTTATAACGTTCGTAATCCGAATGATACGGGCGCACTAATGGAATTCAAAACTGTTGTTGCGGCTTTGAAGCCTTTGTTCCGCAGAGAAGACGTGTCTAAAATCTGTCCAAATATTCCGACATGCGTTTGCCGGCCAACGACGTCTTCGCTACCCGCAGGAGTATACGGATCTATGGAATAATGGGGGACACAAACTAACGAACTTCTCATCAAGTGTTTAAAGCTTTACAGATCAACAATATTGTTATCGCCACAAACAATAATATATCTAGCTATTTCATGCGTACACCTCCCAGTGGCCCAATAGCACATAACCCATTTGTATAGTAAGTAGTATCTAGATTCACACCTTTAAGTATAGTCATAGCTACTCGATCCATTTAACAAAAGACACTTTTTATTTCGGAAAACACTAACGTGCTGGGAAAAAAATATTTATTTTTTTACTATTTTTTTTTTATCGTTATTATCATTTTTTTTTTCAATTTTTACTCTTTTGAACAAAAATTTTTGATTTCAACTTTCGAAAAAGAATATTTTTCAATTTTTCAATTTATGCAATTTGAATAAGTAGTTTTGTGTTGTTAATATTAATTAAAGGTTAAATGTGCGGAACAGTGGACTGATATTTTGCGAGGTAGATACCTACCAATGCATTCAGCTCGCTTAAAATTTAAATACTTGAAACTCATAAGCTGCTCGTGAATAATGACTCGTCCAAAATTCGATTTTTATACATCGAAGTACTCGAAAAAATATCATGCTTTGGCACAAGGAACTGCAAATAAATGAAGTCGTTAAAAAAATTATACCGATAAAAAAAAATGGTAGAAATGTACATTTTTTAAAAATAATTATGCATTTTTACGACTTAAAATAAAAATCAAATCAAATATATTCGTAGACGTTAATGATTTTTGAAATAATGAATGTCGCGTTAAATGGACCGACCGGTAAAATATAACATATATAGAATGATATATGCACGTATTTTACATTTTTACATGTATTCTATTAAAAACCAGGTCATATACTAAATGCAGTAAAAAATCTCGGCGTCCGGGATAAATGTATTCGGACGAAGTTTTTTCCGGATCAATATAGATTCGACTGTGCAGGTGTTCACGTCCATCGAGTATTAACTTAACGAAAAATATCTCACGAGAAAAACGTAGATACAACCATATTGTGTTTAATAGCGATTAAAGTACACACCGTACCTACGTATACATAGTGCAGCACTATACCGTGTTTGTCTGTGGTGGTTACTTTGGTTATATTGCGAATAGGACAACGAGAATATGTGGGGTCCCGGACTTGTGTCACCGTCTATACCTAGTCTTATCTGCGTTGTGTTGCGTTCACGAGTACGATAGTTTGAACAGCCGTGAAGGGTATCATCTTTTGTACTCTCGCGGTATATAATAACAATAATAATAATAATAATAATAATAATAATAACAAACTAGGAAAAGACAGGAAAATTAAATTGCGAAAACCCCTTTCGTATAAACGATTTACGTTTGTGTACACGCGTCATGTGTATATAAAAACACTGTTCGGCTTTTAAACCATAAAACGGCTGCAAAAGAGTGTACGACGTATATGTGTATATACAGTATATAGGTACTGGTGTGTTTAATGACTTTCGCTACTCAGCGATATACTCGCTGCATCCACCGCGTGTACGGGAGAAAGAGCTGTACACACACAGCTATATAATATATGTATATGAATGCACACGCCGTCGAATCCGATTGCGTTCGGGTTTTAATTAAAATATCGAAAAACTCCAGTGCATATAGATGGGAACGGGGGGGGGGAATATAACCTCGCAGTAGAACATAAAACAAACGTTTTTTTTTTTTTTTTTGCGAAAAAGAGCCCATCAGATGATCATTCCTGTCAAGGTACACACAGGCTTTTGACGGTCCGTCGTATGTACCGAGTTATGGAAATTATAACGTAGTGGGCCCGTGTCTCGACGTATGGGGGGGGGGGGCACACATGTTTGTTGCACACACAGACGAGCAAACGTTGTACATTAATATTCTTCAGCGCGCGTTAAGATCAAAGGCACAGCGTACGATATGTAATATTATAATATCGTAATACATCACGCTCGTCGCGCACCGTTCTCTCTGGCGTCGACTCGGCAAAAGCTTTTTTACTGGGCGCCGCGTGTTTTGGTCTCGTAACCAAGACGACGACCGCGACGGCGGTACACCGCGGGCCTTTGCGACGTATAGGCCCATTTAATTCGGCCGTTTTATTATGTGGCACCACGACGGCGTGTAATTAAATACGGCGTTTCGTATAATAATAAAATAAATAATATACGAATTTAGTAATTAACGGTCCGTTGCTGGGGGCGGTCAAACGTTTGCCAAAGTTTCAAAAATGCTCTTCGCCCCCCCCCCCCCCCCGGTGTAAACCTTTAAGGGGTCGTGTATAACACGCGTTGATGTACCGAGAGAAAAACACGCGTAACCCGAACACGGGGCATCGTCAGACATCAACGCCGTTTTTTGGTAGCCGCGAAATAACCGTAATTTTCTGTGCGTTTGCCGACTACGCCGTCTTTAAAAAACGATTCGGCGGTATCTAAAAGATTTACTGCAACTTTTTTTCTCCCGTTTTTCCTATTTTTTCAGTATTTAACGTACAAACACGTGATGAATGAATTATGTGATTATTACTATGCCCGTTTTATTGTACGCCCAAGACACGCATAATTAAGATACGCAATAATGATATTATAATGCAACGGTGAATGCTGCGTTACAATATATTTTTATTTCATTGCGCCGGATCATACTTATTTAAAAAAACATTACTCCGGCTGCGTTCGCGATACGAGTTATAAAATATGTACAGATTTACCAGTCTTGTATTGCGTTCGTCTTATTTATGCGGTCGAGTAAACGAATAAATAATTATTCGTTATTGTAACTGAATAATACTTAATATTTGTTTAAAACAATCTGATTATACAACGGAAGTATAATGATTCGTAAATTTTAATTGATTAATTAGGTCGCTGAATGAGATGCACACTCAGAATCCTCCTCTTTTGTTACGGCAAATGCTTAATATACTGTGTTTATAAATATTCACAAACAAAAATTATTAGTTTTATATCACATAATGTATATATATATGTGCTATTATGAGCATGTCACATATTTTAAAATAAATTACTCCTAAATACTTAATGTGGAAAAAATTTAATTTTACCGAGATTTAAATCAACGTTTTTCAACATAATATCAAGTAACTTCTAATTTATTAATCAGCAAAAATCACTATTAAAAACATGACAAATATTAATCCATATTCATTTATTGCTATAAATGTAATTGTTTTACTTAAATTGTCTATTGTATTAAATAAGATTAGTAGTAAACAGTGAACATTTTGTCAAAAAACTATAAATTGAAAAAATGTAATATTTTATTAAAACAATAACATTTGGAGTCAGTGAATTAATTAATTTGTTCTAAAACTAAATTTTAATTGAATGAAACCAACTTTTATTCTTCATATGTATTATTTGTATATAATTATTCTTAACTGACCTGTGCATGCATAAAGTGTTTAATAAGCGTCTAACTTTTTTTATGTTAAGTAATTAATGATATGGAAATATACAACTTGTTATCAAACACATTGTTGTTGCTAAGTCAATAGCTCCTCACTCCAACTAAAAAAGTTTTTTAATCTACTGAATAATAATATATTTTCTTACATAGTATTACAATGTCAACATATAAAGCATATTACTGTGTTTAGTTTTCGGGCCGATTTAGTAGACAATTCGTATTGTTTAAGGTAAAACTTCTAAACCATTAAGCGTCATGTTATTTGTATTTTGGTTAGCTCTGGTTTCAACTGGATGTCTTATGGACGTAGAGGTAAATAATAAATAATGATTTACAGTTAAATTTATCGTCAGTGTTAAATTAATTCAGTAACTGATTCTTCTAAGCAATGAATGTATTGATTAGCTATATAAAAAAACTAAAATCACGTCTACTCATAACACAAAAAATGTTTTGAACTTATTAAAAATAAACACCATATGAGTAATTATATAGGAATCACTAGTTTATATCACTAGTTTGTTAGTTTATAATATTGTAAATTGTATTTTTACTATAATAGCTTACTTATGAAATCATACATAGATGTGTTCAATGGTTTACGTCAATTAACTATAGTTGTACAATTTAAAAGATTGAGGCTATAGAAAATTAATATGTATAATATTATGCTTAATGTTTGTTAAATTTAAAAATATAATATATTTATAGGCTGAAGTAATAGATGAACATTATATTCAAACACCAGAGACGCCTGTGGTAGACAATTTAATCACCGAGGTAAGGAGCACAATGTTAATGAGACATAATTTTTTAAAACTTTTTTTATGAAAAACGACTTTTCGAAACAGAGTTAGTTAGAATATAATATTGTAATTTATATTACTATAATCATACACTTCATGTATATTAAAAAAAATAAAAATATTTTCATGTCAAATCTTATTCGTAAAAACGTAAAAAATATTACACTATTATAGCCCATAGGCTTATACGTACAACACACGTAATTTAATGTACCTACTTTGGTATTATAATATGTATTATAATAAATTTAAATCTTTCTAAAAGACATTTACTTTATTAACATAGTTAAGTGTATCTTATTGATAATAAAAATATACATTTTATATATATTTTTTCCATGTATCATTCATTTATAAACCAATTATTATGGATATTGCCTGATGTAATAATATTAAGTACCTCCTATAGTCTATATCAGTGGTTTCCAATGTGGGCGATACCGTCCCTTTATTGGGATTTTTTAATTTTGAAAGGGCGTTTTACTTAAGGGGCGCTAGGGGGAACGATTCTATTGTGACTTTCTTTTTTCACTTTTTGTTCATAACTTATATTAAATTAATTGTATATTCAACTGCGTACAATCAAAAATAATTAAAAATAATGTAGTTACTATAAATAATTTTTAGCACTATGTGTAGGTATGTATAAAATATAATATTCACACAACAAAAATAAAAATTGTCGGATTTTGCTTTTTACTAGGATTAAATTGCTGATTATAAAAAATTAACAATTATTTATTATTTAAATTATTGGAGGGGGGCAGTGTGAGATTTTTGAAAACATGAAAGAGATGTAAGTAAAAAAAATAGTTGCAGGGAAACACTGGTCTACACCTTATTTTATTTCTAAATTTATATATTTTCTTAATTAACGTACTGTGTATAATGAGTATAAATATTTCATTTTTCATGAATTTCTTAATTATGAGATGCGGCTATCATAATATATGATATAGTGTACCTAAAGCGTTACAATACCGTGTCTAATATTGTCGCGTTAAAATGTAATTAAATTGACGTTTCGATGTCTTAACGAAAACATATACAAAACAGATGTTTTAATAATAGGTACTTTTTTTATAATAATGTGATCATAGTTTATTTTCGATACAAATATTTCAAAACGAATGTTGTGGTTGTTGTGTCTATATAGGCACCGCGTAGGTCGGTACCTCGAAAAAAAAAGAGCCAATTTTCAGAAATAGATGCGTTATTCAAGTACATAAATCAAACCAACGAGGAATTCATGAGAAATTCAGCAAATGGAGATATGGACTACAACTCGTACTTGGATACCTTAAGACATGCATTTATTGAAGTAAAGTAACATGTCATGTACCGTAAACCATCTATGTGCAGTGTTGTCATGTATTCGAGTAAAAGTATTCAAACGATATTGTTGGGATATTAAATAGTTTTTAAACACTTTCAGCGTCAAATATTTTAGATGGTATTTGAAATACCTGTACTTGCGTTTTGTCTTGAATACTCTACTTTTCTAATATTTTTTTTTATTTTATTTTTTATTTTGATTCTTTGAAAATGTTATTGGTTCATCTATACATTATTATCATATTATTAGAATACTTCAAATGCATATTTTAACAACTATGATTAAAATAAAAACTCAACATGACCGATCGACGAAAACTTTTGAATACCTATCATCTTTATCACGTTTTAAAGTATGATAACAATTGATAAACAATTATTTAATAACTAAATTCCGCAATACAAGATATTACAACGTATGCAATTTTCCTTACATTAACATTATCTAATGTTATGAAAATGTGTTAATGAATTAATTTCAACTTTTTTTATCAATTTAAAATGTAGTACTTTTAAATAATGATAAATTAAACATAAAAATTAAACACCAAAATTATTTGAAAAGTAGTTATTTAAAATATTTGATACTTTTACAACACTGTAAAAATATTTAAAATAAAAAACTAATCTAATGAGATTTTTTTCTTTTTTTTTTTAGTATAAAAGGGCCCATATGGTCGAATCCACTACTGAACATAACTTTGTTAGTTATGGATGGTAAATCAACTGGAAAACTGTCGTATATAAAAATGTGTCAATCTTGAACTTAATACTGTCCGAGTATTAACCGTAAAATGTATTATTTATCTACATAATATATAAAAATAAATTATCATCCATTAATTTTCTATTGAAGAAATAAAAGTCATAATTTAGAATAAAGTTGTTTTTTTTTTATTATTTAATAAATTTACTGTATTATTATTTTTTACAATAGGTAACAAGTTCTTATTTTTTAATATTATATTCAATTCAAATTTTAAACATTTAAATTAATTAAAATTCCTAAATTCGATGTGTTCCCGGTGTATAAATATAACACTTATAATATATTTGTTTAAAGATCATACCAGGTTTGGTATCAAAAAACCAAGTATTGTGTTTATTTATAAAATAACATTAACTATTTAGTTTGTATTCATAATTTCATATGAAACAAAAATTCTCTATCATGGTTTTACCGAGAAAAATATATTTTTCTAATTTCTCGAACACGTAAATACCTGTGTATTTACTTATTTAACAGGCATTTTTTTATCTAAATATGTACCATGTACACTATAATAATCAATTAAAGAATTAAAGTACCTATAAAAACGTCTTGAACTCGGTATATTTACAATGACCTATATTATTAAATAAACGCAGTTAATTACTAACCCGTGTTATATATTTATTTATTTTTTTTATAATCTACAAGATATAAATAATGAATGCAGTTTCTATTGTATTTAAATAAGTTATAAGGTACTTAAAATGGAAATGACTTTGGTATATATATTTTTTTTATAATTAATTTAATGAATTGCCTTGAAATATACATTATACATATTATTAGTACTGATATTTTTTAAGCTATCACAATGTTGGTATATATTAAGCGGTGTTGCCAAGATTAGGTATTAATAGATTAAAAACTAAAATTACTACCGTTTTAGAGTCAAGTATTGTTTTGAACGTGTTAACTTAAAGTTAATTTACGTAAAAATATTTGAATTAAATTACCAAAATATTTTTTTTTAAATATTGTATTCTGAGATCATATTTCATATTCTCTTCATCGACTCTAATTAATTCAACTATTCGTAATTATTTTCACTGCTGACTAGTGATTAGAAAATATTGAATCTTAATATCTAATTAAATCAAGTTCTCTTTTATTTCTTAAGAAATAACTAACATTAAGTTTAAAAATTAGGTTATTTTTAACTTGTTAATTTTTTTTTTTATATTCTTTGCACTATGCTTATAAAATTAAAAAAAAATATATAATAATTTAACTTTTCTAGTCATAGCGGTACTGTTTGTTTTGAATTATATATGCATTTATTCGAAGAAAAAATATTTCCATAAATTAATGTAGGTACAGCATAAAATATATGTTGTTGCCATGATATTTAAATTTAAATTAGGTAGTATATTTACAGGGACTACGTGTAGTTGGTGGTAGGTATTGATTATTATAATTTGTTTGTAATTAATAACTTGAATATAAAAATATGTCTTATTTTAGATATTTATTTATATCGAGGAAATTAATTGATATCCAATCTAATTAATTATAATTTATAATCAAACTAATTAACTATGCTTAAATATATCCTATCTACTCGCTCCACATTTGAAATTAATGATAACATAATTAAGGAGAAATTCGTAGCACAGTAATTTTATTAACGATCTTGCGACTAATATTTAAAATGTGTACAACAAATCCTTAATAAGGGTTTTCGTAACAATTAATCCGATCGAATATATATATACACTTTAGGTACTATAGGAACAGAATATTATAATGATTTTTTAATAATACGGCAATTTTATATTTTAATGTAATTTAAATACGAATAGCTTGTTTTACGGAGAAAAATGTGGCCACATTTTTAATGATCAAAATAAATTAAGCGTCAGTTTTCCATTTCCTAAAAAATATGAATTTAACATTAAGAAATTATAAATAATAATTACTTTATCCACTGTGAAAAAATATAATCGTAATTAAATTTGATAGCGTAAATTCACGAACATTCTTGAGGTAGGTACTCGGTTGTTATTTTAAATGTTTAGCGATTAAGAAGAATCACAGTTAAACGATATGACAAAAATAAGAATGAAATAACGATGTGACTGAGTAAAGAGCAAACACTGTTTTTTTTTAATTGAACTCTTTATCGCAATTTTGTGTACAATTATATTAATTATTATTAAATCTAATAAATCTGATGACTTTGACGTATCACAAGAATAGCAGACACGTTTCATACTTTTTTACTCTTTAGACTGTTTCTTCAACTGGGAATTTACGTATATTAAACTATGATAATTTATCAAAATCTAATCATTCCGACTACGATCATTATTTTAAAAAACTGCAATTCATTGTCAGCTGACAATAATAATAAATGTATAATACACGCTATATTGTGTTTTATAAAGAACCAACGCTGCATCAATAACGTAGTGTACGCTATATTTTGGGTGATTTTACGCACCAGAAAAGGGGTTGAGAACCACTTTGAGAACGCATGCTGTAAAAATCTGTGAAATATACGAGTATTATGTGTATTACGGTTTTTTATACGATATTTATTATGTGACCACGAGCGGACAACCGTCCGTTACAAAACCAGAAACAAAATAACAGTACCCGGTAAAAAAAAAAAAAGTATATAAAAAACAAATACAAATACATATAGGTACACCTATATTATACAAGTTTAGTCTTCAGTCTGTTTTAGTGAACTGTACACATTGGTCAAAGCAGATCGTTTCTAACCGTCATGGAGTCTGTACTGTGGTTAGCCTTGATTTCAGCTGGGTGTCTGGCTAGTGTCGAGGTAAATATAATATGTTCAACTTAGTTATTTATTTATGATACACCTAATTGATGAATGGTAATTAATTGTTTTGAGGAATTTTGTTTACTAAACAACGAAAATATTGCATACATCATCGTATACGTAGTAGATACTGTTAATAATGTATACGGTTTATACATTCATTACTCTGTGTTATAAAGAATAAAGAGATTCTGTCATCGTTTAATGTTTGTTTTTTTTTTCGAAAAAAATTGTTAAAATAATATTTTAATTGTATCTGGTATAACACATCAGTAGATATAAATATATAAAACTCGAATATACTTTTGAAAAAAAATCTCATGTGAATTATTTTAAACATAAAAAATGTTTAGATTTTTATTGTTATTATATTATGTCAGTTGTATCACAAGCAGATAAAAAACATCGGTTATCTTCTCTTAAAAGAAAACCTGTTAAATTTAAAATAAATGAATTAAACATATTTTAATATCACAACTTGTCGAAGTAGGTAAATCTTTGACAAAAAATTAAATAACGATATACTTACTAAATATTCGAAATGTTATAAAATTAACACGTGGAAAATATATTAAATCATTAGCTTTAGATAACATTTTTTTTTTTTTTATCTTAAAATTTTAGAATATTTATTATTTTTAATTTTGTCACTGTTTATATGAATATTTAGAATTATGTATAATATTATTGGCATAACGCAAAGTATGAGTGTGTTTGTTATGCTTCCTTCTGCTATCTACTTATATACGGTTGTATAGATTTATAAATACCTGTAATATGAATTTACAAGTAAATGTTTCATTGCTCATATATTTATTTACTAGCTTATATTACTTGCACGCATGGAGACTATATAATATTACGAGTATGTACACGTTTAACATAAAAGCAAAGTGAAATGGTATTCAACAATAATGTCAGTTTACTGTTGAAACATACCTATGACGTGTAGGTAATAGGTATAATACAAAAAAATGTGATTTTTAAGAGAAAAATATAAAATAAAAACATTAATAACTCGAGTATTTGACACAGGCTGGTCCAGTTTCTAGGCAAAGCACGTTTGTTGAAATAGACGCACAGCTATTGGAACGCATTGAACTGACCACTGAGGAAATAGCGAGGAATTCAACCAAAGAATTCGTAGATCACGAAGTTCAGGCCATGATTGATCTGTTCATAGAAAATTTAAACATCACGATCGCCGACGTATGAAGACTCATGTGCAGTACAACTGCGGTGTAAAGTTGTTTTTTAATCTAAATTTAGTTATCTGCAATTGTTTTGTAGTTACAGCGATATTCCAGTCTCCGGAATAGTTCGGACTTCGATGATACGCTAATGAAAGAATATCAAAAAAAAGGATTGATAATGTACGAAAACACTGCCATAACTGTAGATTACGTAGCATACAAAATTGATGTTCTGACAAAGCCTATCGAGGAACTTGAACAGCTTGAAAAATACATAATTGATGAGGAAAAAGTATACATTTTTACCTTAACACCTTATGTTTTATTGTTCATTGTGCGATTTAAACAATCCTATAACTTTATAATATTTGTTTTTATTTAGAGATTAAAAAATCTTTCCAACGATTCATTAGAAAAAAAAACTAAATCAGTTTTGGAAAAAATACAGACGACCAAGAGGTTTATCGGCAATCACGTGAACCATTTAAAAGAAATCAATGACATATTAAAAGGTCTTGGTCAAAAGCTGATGACAACATTAAAAGTTTCCCGTCAACCCAACTAATGAAGATCAGTTTTTAATTGAGCGAAGTGTCATCGTGTTACGTATTAACTTAAAATTTAATTATATTTTTTATTAACATTAGAAGTTATAATAATAAGAGGTACAATAATCAGTAATTCAGATTTAATATTTTTTTAATTATTACACGACATTTTAAGAATTGTTTAAGTAGTATTACATTTAAATATTTCATTAAATTTCAAGATTTAAATACAATATCATGGACACAAGACTAAAGATAATTTTAGTATTAGTATAGTAATAAAATATTTTTATTTTAAATTAATATTTAAATAATTGTAAAACAATAATTAAGTATATCTTATACAATAACTTAGTAATAATACATACAATTCGAGATAGATAATATATCTATACATTTTACATGAACGTTATTGCTTTTATTTTTTATTTTTATAATAATATGTGTTGTGAAAAATTTGTAAATTTTTTTAAAGGTAACAAATTTGAATTGTAGTTATTGCCCATAAATTTTTTTAACTATTTTAATGACTTTGGAAATATCATATTTATATATTGAACAAAAGAAGACAATAATCCATTTACCTACATATTGTAATTAATTTTTATTTGGCATTATACTTAAATCATATATTATAACATTTTTTTTAAAATAAATTACTTTTTAAGATTTTTTGAGCTATCATAAATTATAAATTATAATAGATACAGAACAAAGAAAATATTTTTAAGAAAACGATAAACTGATTTTTACTAGAGCCATTTCTTTGGCAGACATTATACTTAACAGAAAACATAATTGTTTATATTAAAGTGAATTCAGAATAGAATAATTGGACTATAATTAATTAAAGTGATAAATTGGGTTGTAATTTGATAGTCATAGTTCATCAAAATTATTAACTAATTTAGTCTACTTGAAAAACATTCATAAAAAAATTGTGTTTTGCCATATTTTTAAGAAAAACTACTGTTATTATCAGATGGATTATTTCTACGGATTTTATCGTTTTCTTATTATATATTCATTATGTATAGGGCTGGGATTTTGATGCAAAGGCATATTTTTTTCTGGTATTTTGAAACGTTAGTCCGTAAGTATAAAATGTGTTTTGGGTGATACTGATTATTTTAGAGTAATGTAATTTTTTTTTTTGCATTTTCTGATAAAATTAACATTAAATGCATTTTTAGTGCATTTTATTAGTTGTTCACAATTTTTTTTTATAAAATAAACAAAAATTGTTTCAATTAATAAAAGACTTTTGGCAAACTGCAACGGTACGATTAATAAATTATATATAGCACGACAAGTTATCGTCGATAACAAATTTTTTTTAAATTATTATTTTACAATGAATGATTAGGAAAATAGAAGTGTAGTAGAACTAAAAAAGTAACAACGAATAATATAATTAAAAAAAAAAAAAAATACACTGCTGTAGTATTATTTTAAATAATTTTTTTCTTATTTTTAAACTACGATAAATATAATTTAAATACATTTTTATAGTGCATTTTTTGAGTTTTTAAGTCATTTTTGCATTTTTTAATGGTATTTTTAAGATTTTTTTTGGACATTAAGATCCCAGTCCTAATTATGTGTATGATAAAATATTTCTTTAAATCTTATATATTATATGTGTGTGTGTGTGTGTGTGCGTGAGTGAGAGTGTGAAGTACTGATGGTTTAGTCATTAAAGCTAAAATTCACGATCAAAACAAAAAAAAAATTATTCAAATAAAAAATACTAAAGAGTTATGAAAAACTGCTCTATATTTTTAATCACATTATTAAGCACAAAATATTATTTTTAAGATTTCTTTAAACCAACACATTGTTTTTATTTAAAACACATGACAAATGTTTCTATACGTTATTACTTGATTGTCAAATACTACGATTTCTTAACGGAATTTTTGTCTATTTTTTTACAACCAGTCATTTACTTTATTGCGAATCATTTTTATACCTCGAGTGTTTTGATCAAGACTTGGCGATATACAGTAGTCTAATCTCTATGAAACTTTGGTCTTTTATTATTAATAACCTAATAAGTTACTTATTTTACTTTTAGCATTATTATAATAATATATTTATACCATATTATTATACCAATTTATATTATTCAAAATGTATGAACATAATCTTTTTGTATACACCGTAAAACAGTAATCATAAATAATAATACATTCATAGTACCTACCTAAAAATAGATAATATTTTAAAATAAATCAACAATTTTATTGCGTACAGTAAAATTCATAATATAAAAAAAAACATAAAAGTTTAAGTTCTAATGAATAATGTTTTTAAATTAAAATAAAATAATTACTATATCTTTATTTATCGTTTAAGTTAGTGATTTCATCTAAATTATAACTTAAAATATCAATTAAAAATAATCGTCTTGATAAATTTTGATTTTATAATTTCAATAAGTATGAACTACTCAAGAAGAATAATACACTTACATGATTTTTGTGTAAAATTATCTTTTCTTGTAAAACAATTTTAATGGAACAAGATAAGATTTAATTGTATTTTTTTTTTTGGTTTAATCTGAGATATTTATGTGTTTATGATGACGATGCAATTATAATTTTAACATTACTTAAAAATAAAAATATAGTTTCATTTTTTTAAAGTTATGAGTTTGTACACATGATACCCGTGATACTCCCTGTAATCAATTTTATGTTATTTCTATTGTATACTAATTTGTTTAAAAATAATAACTCGACAATAGAAATATAAAAATAGGTATTACAGTGGACGAAGTTAGTTTCGCTTTGGGACCAGTAAAAAGCAAGTCTTATAAATTTCTGACCGAATAAACCTTATAGGCAAACTGAGGGAAAAACGTAATAAAATTTATTTATTTATTTTCCTATTTTCATTTCATATATTTTACTTCTACACACCATATATTAGATATAATTTCATATTTTAATTCTACATTTAACATTTTTTTTTTTTTTTTGTTCGTGTTTTGTTATATTTCATTATTCCGTCAATATTTTACTAATTGGCACTCGTAAAAAATTGATGCGTATTTTGTTCTCTGTGAGTTTTTTTTTTGATAAGAAATGTTTCCACTTTTTTATTACTGGTCGAACTACTCTTTTGTGGCCTTAAAGTTAACATTACCCATTTTTTTTGTTAATTTTTCAGCTTTTTAGTGAAGCTAAGGGTCTGAAACGTGAGCATCTCTATTTCTGACATTCACAAAGTATTCTTTCAACGCACATTCAACATCAATACATTATTATCCTCTTCACGACTTTTCTTTTTCTTACTCGTACATGACGTGCAATAAAATATGAATTGAAATCATTACAACACAAATAATTTTTCAAAACTTATTTATTTCAAAACTTCACTTAAAATGTATTCATTTTCTATTGTTTTTTTTTTCACGAATGATTATTGTAACATAATCAAAGTAGGTAATCAGTTTTATAACCGAATTGTTGTAATCTATTTGGATAGAACCGTTCCAAGCGATTTTAAATTTTAAAAACGACTGAACCTTATATTCGTAAGTCTTATAAGCGTATATCTTTTTGAATAATAGTATGGACTATAGTATTTTAATACTTAAATTAAAAATATAATAATTAATCTATATTTAACTTAAAATTAAACCGAGGTTCAGTAACTAAACGGTCTCCTCTAAACATGTTTCGTGTTACATACTCTTTCTCTTGTCATCTATAATACTATTATTGTTATTGTTAAACAAATTGTAATATATTTTATTAAATATAAAAAAAAAATAATAATAATAACTTGAAATTTAAAATAAAATATTATTCTTATCCTATTTAATTAAATTCTTTATTTGGGAATTATAGTAACATTTAAGTTCTAATCATATATTATGTTTAACAATATAACAGTATGATTGTATACTTTTATATGTATAATATTATGTCTCTATTTCGCATATAAAAAAAATAAAAATATATTCATAATAAAATTAATTTAATTATGCACAGAGTGTATGATTTGTCAGTAGGTACCTTAATATATATTATATATCCATATAATATTATATTTAATGTAATATATTGACATGTCATATAAGTAATTAATTAATTAATGAGTATTTTAGCAATTTTAAAGGTGTGATTGATTTTTAATTAAATAAAAAAAAAAATGATGTTAGAATTATCTGAGAATATTTAATACATATTTAAATTAAAAAAAAAACAAACCCACATCAATTACTGAATATTTATTACAATTTTAAATACTTTTTCAAGTATTAAAGAACCAAAAAAAAAAAAAAAATGGAATTTACTATTATTTTGTCTGTTGTATGTCTTGAAGTCAAGTTAGGCATATTCGATTACTTTGGATTTCAAGATGCAGAAAAATAAAACAACATCTCACAAATAATATTTGTATTTATTAACTTTATTAACTGATAAATATTACCTACTAACTATCTATTAACTATTAATCCGCGTACTTCATTAATTGTACAAAATATATATCAATGTTAAATTTGATTTCCTAATGCTCACATTTAGCGTAACGCATGTGGATAAATAATATATTTGATTTTCTGATTTGGTATATAGTTGATATTTTCAACTTTCAACGTATCAACTTTACATAGGTTTCCTGCCTAGCGTTACATTTTTTTGACCATTTAACAGTAGTATTTTTTTTTTAAATTATTTTTCTTTTCTTTTTTTTTTTCGTTGAACAACCCAAATTTAATTTCCTCTTCATTCTAAACTAAAAACCAACTACTCATAAAGTTTCAATAGTGTGAACCAAAAAAAAAAAAAAACGAAAAAGTTTTATACTGTTATATTATGCCAACTTTACTATTCTCTGAAATACTGATTTCTAATAATAACTAATGGCAACACGGATGAGAAAAAAATATCTTTATGTACGTATTTATTGATTATTTAAATAATTAATTACTTGATTTTTCGTTGACTCGTAAACTCAAAAATAGGCTTAAAACTTATTTAGCAATCTTTTCTTTAATTAAAAAAAAAAAATAAAAAATAATAATAATAAAAAAAAATGAAGATAATCAGATGAGTAATTTTAGAGAAAACGCGTGACAAAGATTTTCATTTTCACATTTATACGATATGTATAGATTTAGCATGAATAACATACACACATAATATATAGCTTTATATTTTATGTACATATAATTTTAATATAATATGAACATACTATATTTAATATTATATAATTTGAATTTTGTACAAATTAATGATATCGTGTTTGATATTAAAATTAATAAACACATTTCGTAATTATTACATCAACCTTCGACTTAACTCGAAATAAATTAAATATATTTTGCATAGGTACTAATGATAATCATATTGTTTGTTTGATTGTTCAAGTAAAAGTAATAATTGAGTTATAAACTAAAACGTGTATAATTTATATTATTGTTTAGACAATATTAAAAATATTTGACAAAAATAAAATTATAATAACGATAAACAATAATAATATCATAGCGCTATAGAGCATACACAGTCTAGGATGGCTAGTCATCCCGGAAAATCCGGGACGTTACCGGTTTAGGAACCCATGTCTTGATGTTCCGGACAAAGTTTCTCGGGACACCGATTTGTACCGGTTTTAGACTATTTCATATAGTACTTCTCAGAACTTGAAATTGTTTCACAATAATTCTTGTACTTGCTCGGTTATCGGTTTTATTTTGAACAAGACCCAAAGTTCGATAAAAAAGTCAACAAGTTATTATAACAATATTTGATAACGTACGTCGCAACGTATGACAACGACAGTAATAATCGTTTTCTAAATTTAGCCAACCTACTGCTTTTGGCTTCAGACTACATTAATTTACAGTCGGAAAAACCATATCAGGATTTTTTAACTTCGAGAACAACGGTTATGACTGATAATATTTATAATAGGTATTTAATAATACAAAGTATAGTTTATTAGTTTGTAAGTCAGTATTCAGTACGCATTCGTTTGCCGACAATACGAGTCGTATGCGAGTATGAAATATCGACCGACGGTTTTGCACGTATTTATTTCATACTTTATAGTTCACAGTGTCGTGATTTTATTTAGTTCATTTTTTTACGTAGTCACTATGCCGCCTAAAAGACTCTGTCATTTTGATGAGAAGTTGCAAAATGATTTCGCATTTATTAAAAAACTTAAACCTACTGACGATTTCAACGTACCATGCCGTCTAACTTGCTATTAACATTTTTATTGTTATACATAATATTCTACAACTTTGGTGACTTGGATTTCATAAATTTGATCTGGCCACGCTAGGCCATATACAATTATAATAGAATAAGTAAATAAAATATTTTTTAAGGTTTTTTTAAAAGTGCCGCCAGATCAACAGGAACCTATTATTTACCTATTATTGGATTTTTTTTCACTTTATGCGGCGAGAGCGTACAGAATGGTAACAGAAACTGTAATGTCCAAAACGAACAAAATGTTCTATACATTATCAGATTATATTAAAACCGAAATACTTGACTTTGGAAACGATATTAATAATTATTTTAATAAACTACAGGTAATTTAAGAGATAGGAAAAATCTATTATAAATAATTAAATTATTACTTAATCAAATATACTTTTTTATGGAAAGGGTTTTAGAGTGAACATTTTAAAACATTTAGAAAAAACTCAAATTTACAATTAATATTCAATACTCAATCAAAAATTAAAAAATAATTGAATATATATATTATAATTGATATGATAAATAATTACTCAATATTAACTTTAAATTATACTGAAAGTACTGTTAAATGAACTCTATTATTTATTACTTATAAGGAACACGAAAATTGTATTAAATGATGTTTATTTAAATTAAATACTAATAATATATAACTATTTATTTTGGAAACCTTTAATAAAATATAGAGCCAATTTAAATTATTAATAAACAATCTAATTGAAATACTCACAATTAATGTTATTAAATATCGATTAAAACACTTAATAGTATCTAATAAACATAGGAATGGGATACATAAAGTTTTCCTTGTAAAATTTACCTTACATATTATAATGTTATACAAATTATAACTTATATTATTGTTTTATCTATTTAGTTATATAAATGTACATAATAATACGTTTTATGCAATGAATAATACTATTTTATGATCGTTCGTAATTTCGTATTACAATAATTTAATTTACCAACTTGGTTACAACTTTGTAGCCAAAATGTATAAGATATTGTTGTATTATTTATCTACTTAAGTTTATCACCGTCAGGCGTTATTTGGTCTTGGAAAAAATTAGTCTTTGTTCCAGTCTTTATCTAAAGCATGTTGTATGTTTTATTCAAAAACATTTTTTTCGGGATAACTCTGAGAATGTAATATTTAGCTTTCGTTCTACCAAAAGATAAAAATGATTGAATATTTGACATTTCTTCGAAACATATACCACGATGCGTTAGTTTTCCTTATAAAAATCCTGATTAAAATTAAAAATCATCTCATAAATCACTTATACCTTTAGTTTAAAAACAAAAGTATAGATTAAATATTAAATATGTTTAGCACGTACCATATAATACCTATTTATAATCCATAATTATTGTATTATAAACAAACAACAACTAAAGAAAATTATCCACCGAAAAATTATTCGCCCTCCAATTAATAGTTTATACTCGTAATATTATGAACCCGATAACCCGAAGACATAACACTGGTGTTGTTATTAAGTTGCAACTTTTGTCAACAATTTTTATTTTGTTCAAAAATACATATGGTATTTTACTACGACATTTTTTCCGCGTTATTAAATTGAACATCTAGAGTAATACTTCTACTGGTAAAATTACATCTCTAAATAGTATGCAAGAGATTAAATTTAAAAATATAAATAGCTACCGTGAGATCTATATGAAAATATTTCTGCACATCTTTTCTCAGAGTCTTAAATATAGTGAGATTGTGTACTGCGTGGGCGGACGTAAACAATTTAATAATATATAAAACGATTGCAGCGGACGTAAGCAATATAATAAAACATAATAACAACAGCGGACGTAAACAATATAAGATTTAGCAACGGCATCAACGGCTTATGGAAGAAAGGTACAAAAGAAAACATTGATTGGGTTTGAATTGATGAATAAAAAAAAGTTTTTGTCAAGGTTGTTTTTATCGTATATAAATAGTAGGTAATATTTTCAGTTGGTTCACTCTGACAATTTACTCGTTCGAATTCACTGTCAAGATGAAGACATCATATTTTTGCGGTCTCTTACTATCGGCATTAATGGTCCAGGAAAGTATTTTTGTACTTCTACTTTTGGTATATTTATGGTACAAATTTGATTTTAATTATATTTTATACATTTATTATACAGATTTCATCTGCGGAGATTAGTGAGTTTGATAAAATAACAACGAGCTTGATGCATTCTTTGGTTGACATTATGGAAATACCATACAGAAAAATTGAAAATATCTTAGATCCATCGGTTGCTGGTAAAAAAAAAGAACCATTTTTAAAAGATATTGTAAACAAATTTAACCAAAAAAAAGAACAAATTGAAAAGGTAATAATATTTTTTAATTTTTTTTATTACTATATAAAATACACCAATATGAAATGAAACACTGCAATTTTCGTTTAATTATACTTATGATTAATGATTTCTCGTGTAGTTTTAAGGGTCTGCTATAAATACATTTTTTTATTGTTTTTATTTGGAAATTGTTAAGGTTATAAATTATTTGGAAAAAAAAATCAATTACTCTAAATTGAAATTTTTTTATCTAAAGTTATATTTATTTTTTGAGTAGTTATAGTTAAATGGAATTAACTGTAAAACAATTAAATTATTTATTATAAATTAAATCGATCATTTTTATGGTATTTTTATTTTTTGGAAACTAATTAAATATTTTGTATAACCATTTACAATTTTAATTTTTACGGTTAAGGAATATCTAAAACCTAGTCAATAAGAAAACGAAGTATAAAGCTTTACTATAGGTAATATTTATAAAACGACCAAGTAAGTTCAAAAGGAATATTTAAATTTTATTTTTATTTAATTAAAACAATAGTTTGCACAGTGCATGGTTTTTTTTTTTCAAAATCTAATTAATTTTAACAAATTTAACATTAAGACCATCAAAAACTTATTCAAATAATTAAATAATTCGTTTTTGCAAGTGTTTGGCATTTTTTTCGTGGTATTATTACTTATAAGATATTTTACTTGTTTAGTTACCTAAATAATACATAAAATGTTAAAAAAAAAAAAAAAAAAATAGGAAAGGTATAAAATTATAATATGTCTTATTGGATTTTGCCTTGTTTTTACTTGTTATAATTTTTTCATACTCAAATTTAAAAATAATAGTTATTGACTGTAAACCAATATAATGCAAGATAATTATAGCAGATATACAAATGTTTGTACACATAACAAAACACATCAATAAATATATTAAATAATATTTTAATTTTATTTTAAGAACTACTTGGAATCACGAACCTCGGAAGAAAGAGAATTTATAAAGAAGAAATTAGTCGATTATTCCAATGCTTCACAAAAACTAGTTAATGCGATTTGGGATGCTAGTAATACGGCCAAAATGACGATAAATGGATTTTTTAACACTCTACCGAAAAATGTCCAGAACAAAGTACTTGATTTGGGAAAAGACTTGAATAATATTTTACATAAAATAAAGGTAAAATTTAAAATTAAAAAAAAAACAAAGATCGTCAGAATTTAAATAGACATTTAATAATATACGAATTGGTTGGTACTTGAAAATTAATACATACAATTTTTGTAACAGGCATAATCCAAAAATGAATTTCCTGCTGAAGAAAATAAACAGCTCTACGCGATCAAAAGTATTTATAAAGACCAACGAATTTTTTCGTCAATATTATTGAATCATTTTAAATTACCTATGACTAATGATAATTGATTCATATTTCTATTATTATTTTACTTATTTATTTATTTACCTATGAGTATTTTCATATAATCTTGTTCATCATTTTTAATGGACTCATAACATTAAAACAATCACACTATTATACTGTAATGTGTATGTATTTTATTAATATATAATTATAATTTTATAAATTATAACTTAGATACACACATTAATGTCTATAATATTTTTTTTTTTAAGAAATAATAACATATTATATTATTTTCACAAATATAGTTGTATTGATTTGTCCTTGAAAAATTATTTTCGATTTACGTAAGAAAATATTTTACTTTTATTCTTATTATTCAAATTTATTTAAGTAGAATTTAATATATTTTTTCTAATCGTACTAAATCTTAGACGATAATACAATAATATTATAACTATGAAGTAGAGCTGTGATTAAAACTGAAAACTGTGAAATATACTTTGGATTTTTTTTTATGAAAGCTTTAACTAGCAAATCAAATACAAGAACAGAGGTCTTCAAATCACCTTGTCATCATTTGTGGCCCGTGAACAGATTTTTTTTAAATTAGAACGGCTATAAGCCATCATTTAAGCTTTATGAGTTTATGACATCATTATCGAAAAACTTGAGAAATGTGCGATAAGATAAACTGTATAAATGTTAGTTGTTGCCTAATATTTCGGTATGATGATACAATATTGAAAGAAAAGTACAATAACATTAAACTTTCAAATTTATTCAAAATATATTGACATGGAGACATATCCTATAATCTTCGAAGTAACGCGTTAAAAATAATGTCTTTTTTTGGTAGTACTTACACTCGTGAGAATATTTTTACACGAATGAAAATTATCAAATCTAGAACTAGAGCTCGGTTAACTGGCATTTACTTTTAATCATAAAAATTATACTAATAAAACTTAATTTTTGTATAAAATGCGTGCTCTTGTAATTAGAGATTGTTTTCAAAAACCTAACAAATAACATTATCATATTTTTAAAGCTTTAATTTTATTAAAATTTTTTAAATTTATTAAATAGTTTATTCAGAATTAGTTGGACAATTTTTATATCACACAAAAATTTTTAGTTTGATATTTCTATGATATGTAAATACTAAACTTCAATTAGTGACTAAAATAGTGAAATTGTTTTCCATTCAATTCAAAATATAGTTACTAACAAATTTAAATAATTGCATATATTTTAAATTAAACAACAGTAATACCTAGCATATTTTATACTAAGATTTTGTCTGACGTATATTATTTTTTGAGCTACATCGAATATTGTGTCTCAAATATGAATGTGTGTGTTATAGTTGTGACTTGCAACTTTTAAACTGAATTTTGATAATTTACATGGTAATGTTTAAGTCATAATTGCCACGTGTAAATACGTACTATTTAATTGCCTTAACATATAGCCATATGAAGCTATCCATAAAAACTATGTTTGTAAATTTATTGCAATGATCTAAACTCTAAATTCTAAATAACTTATATGAGTATGGTCCACAGAAATATATGCTGTGCAATAATTTATATATATGTACCTATGTTAAAAACGACAATAATAATAAACAAACAAACTAATTGTGAATTTTATTAAGTACGCAAATTATTGATAATTTAATTGTTTAGCATAATTCTGAAAGTCCTTACTAAACACTGTATATTTTTTATTTCTACATCTGTAATTTTTTTTTTTTTTAATAAGTTTAAGTGATGGTAAAGGTATTTAACAATACTTTTATGTATAAATAGAAAATAATAATAAGAAAAAATATATTTATATATGTAGCTATATCAAAGCAGCAGGCTATGTGAATAAGCTATAACCAGTTTTTGGACCTCAGGAAACTCTATATTAGGGGTCACCAATTAATTTATTTCAAGGGCCACATTAGGAATCTTAAAATTTTTCACAGGTCATCAAAATACTAAGTAAATATATAATTTTTAAATATAATAGGTATATTATTTTAAAATTGGATGTAATAAGAACATTACTTTTTTTTATATATTATTTACTATTGTTCATAAACATTAAGAACATAATTAATAATACAAATATAAAAAAAAAAAAAAAAAATTAAAAATTAAAATAAATTATAAATACAATAAAAATAATTCACATCATTTTTTACTGTTATTTAAACGAGAATTTAATTTTTGTTTAATTTAAAACATTTTAATTATTAAAGAAAATTGTTTTGAAAAAATAATTTATAGTGTGTATACATATAGAACATATAATTTAAAACTTTTTTTTCATTTAATAAAAATATATTAAAATTAAAATCTTGTTTATTTTTTTTTCTTAAAGAATTTTAGAAAGGAAATAATATAATATACTATTAGGTGACCCGGAAATAATTCGTTGTTGTTATTTGAAAGTTTGATATAAATTATTAATGTATTTATTTTAAAATAAATATTTAAATATAAATTATTATAATTATTATTATTATTATTATTATTATGGGTGCGTTGCTGCGTCATCATGAAATTTAATTTAAACGAAACTCTTGAATAATTTCGCTGTTTCTTTATGCGTAATATTAAAAACCAGTTCAAAAATTTCTATTAAAATTTATAAACGGTAATAACACGAAAATAACATACGTTTTTCGTTTGCAACATTGCTACACACAAATTAATGTATCAAAGATCGCATCTTGAGATTTGCTCAAAATCGTTTTCCACACGCAATGATTATTAATCACCGTCATCAATACATTATTTGTCCAGCACCAGCCATCAGGTGAGCCGAGTAAGTAGAGCTGAATAAGTGAACCGACTAAGTAAATTACCTAAGTAATCTATAATCACTACCAGGTTCTGCCTATAGTAAATTGCATTTTATTACAATTCGCATTACATATAATAATATAGGTTGTGATCTTTAACGATAAAAACAGAAGAAGCTCAAAGGAAAGAGTTAAAACACGTCAGATATTAAGATATTTTATAATCGGATATTCTAATGTCTTCGTGAAGTATATTATCCAAAACAAATGGATAAATCGTTAAAATAACTTACCTATATCCTTATCCTTATCTGCAGCAGGCACAGGTACAAAGTATAAAATGCGCACAGTAGCGCACTACTGAAATACATTCCTGTATACTACCTACCACTATAGGGAACAAATAGAATGACTAGGATGACTCTTCCAAGGTGGTAAGGTATTCGATTTTTTTATTTTTTTGTATGAGCGACTTATGAACAATTTTGTAGAAACAATTTTCTTGAACGTGTTTAAGCCTTTTGTATTTAAATTAAACATTTTTATACATTTCCAACTACAAATAATTTTTAAAATTTAATAAATATGTTAAATCAACCTAGGTACTGTAATACTAAAAGTAAAATAAACGAATTTAATAGCTATATCAAAAAACATAACATGACGTATTAATATACTTAGTGATATAGGTTGACAAGCCGTCTCTGTCTAGAATTGTTTTTAGTACACAATAATAACGCTTAGTTCAAATTTAACATGTACATTGAAGTAACCAACTTTTTATTACTTACTATACAACAACAATATTTTTTTTCACGATATATTATACTTACTAATAATGTAAATATTGTTATAAATTATTTTAATTTATTATTATATCGTGAACAAATATTTCTATTTTATTAATTTTCAACACAAAAAAAAAAAAACTGTTCGCTTATTTTCCCCAGTTGTTGGGAGAAATCCGTTATTTATTTCATTTATTGTTGTTGATACGAAAAATTCTTTAAATTTTTAGAAAAAAGTACAAATTTACAATTTTAAGATTTTAGTATAGGTACCTAGATTTAGAAAAAATAGGTAGTCATTATGTTAAAATCTTCAATGTACTATTTTCACCGGAGACTTAATGAAAAGTAAGAATAAAACTTTTCATGTATTACTCACTATGAATCGTTTGTGAAATATCACTTATGAGATTACAATTTCGATCAAAATTACACAGAAGATATCGTACACAATAGTAGGGTATAGTGTCGTATATGACATTTTGAGACATAGAGGATTTTTTCATGTTGATAAGAATTATATTTTTGATGAAATTAATAAAATTTGATACTAAGTTAAATTTATAAAGAAATAATTAGGAATTTGTTATTCGAAAACGCTTATTACTTTTATTTTTAGGTATTTTAAACTTTTATACTGTAATAAATCAATATTTTGTTTTAAATAAATAAAAAAAAAAAACGATATTAGGTACCAATAGTTATAACTTATCACTTTATTATATCACAATATTGAAATGTTGATAGTTAAATACCTTAAATAAATATTTCTGTTCCATTTAATAATAATGTTTTCATTGTAATTTGTTTCTGAAATGAAAATGACAAAATAGTCTCTGACCTCGGTTGATTTAATTAATTTTATTTTTATTAAATTATTTGAAATATCTACATCTCATATTATATTAATCGCTCCATTTACAAAAACAATTACAGCAGCCAAACGTATGTTACATATTAGTATACAAATTACAGATATTATTATTGTAATAAAATACTGTTGATAAATAATAAATAGTATGATAATTTTAATGTTTTTGGAAAAAATCAAATCAACTTACTGTAATACTAAAAGTAAAATTAATTTACTTTAATAGCTATATCAAAAAATATTAAAGATTGTATCTATTTAGAATCGTTTTTCGCATAGTTCATCGTGATATCATATCATTTAATCCAAATTTAACACACTCAACACTTGATATAGTTATTTGTCTGCCTTATTTTTTTTTATCATCATAAAAATATAAAAATATTGTATTTTTTTTCTTAAAGAATTAGATGGTAACTAAATCTAATTGTCTAACAAAAATCATCCTAGCGATTTATATCTGAGAATTTGCACTACTTCAAAAAGGGATGACAGACAAAACAAATAACACATGATAAAATCGATACATTTATAAGTCCACTCATAATCTAAAATCTTGGCTTCATTTTATGTGCTTAAAAATGTAGGTTGTTTTT